GAATGTAGTCCAATCATCCTGGGCTGGAATACCTGATCACAGGGGCCAGAAGTTGGGTGACTCCATGCAACACAGATGTACAGCAGTTCTCAGAAACAGTGCGACTACAACCAAACTATTCATGAAGTCATTCAAAGGAAAGCAAAATCTTCAAACATTTCTCAGTTTATATAGCGAATGTTTGAGTTTGTAAAGAAGAATACAAACACTGCGATTTTTTTGAACCGTCTAATATTCACTTTTCTTAAATTTTTTTAGAGGAACAACACAAATTTGATGTATTTTTCTTCATGTTTTGATTTGGAATAGAATGTGTCGTGTTCCCAATGCATTTGTGTGGATGGAAATAAAAGCTTTTAGAAGGATTTTGAAGCTTTATTCACTTTTTTCAACACACTGCTATTATTTTGAACACAGCTGTATATATCAATATACATGACGCAATTTAACCCCTTGGCGCCTCCCGCCCTTTAAGGGTTTCAGAAGCCGGGAGGCGGGGTGGGGTTTTAGGGTCATTCGCCGTCACGGCGGTCACATGATCGGAAAAGGTCCTGATCGAAAGAGGAGATCGGGACCTTTCCGTGAGTACCGGACATGTGTACTGGGAGCACGCAGGGCGCGCGCGCTCTCAGCACATATGCTTTTTCCCAATTGCACACAAATGTGCGGCCGCTCGGCCTCTAGGCCCAGACGCCGGGAGGCCGCACATTTGTGCGCAGCCGGCATGAAGAGGTTAATTATTATAAACAATTTGATAATTTACAGTAGAGTTCTACATTTACATGATTCCATGTGAGGTAAAAACCGCCAAGAAATTTAAGAACTAATTGTTATATGAACACAACCACAAATTTCTCATATGTCTTAGGCAAAAATGACAAAAAACAAAAATTAATAAAGAAAAACTAAGACCAGTGGATGGTAAATGCCGCCCAAATGCCTTGTGAAGGGGCCCCGCCCCAAACGCACAGTCAACAAGATTACCTGCTGGTTGGTACTGATAGGGCAGTGCTGCAATATGAATAATGAAAAACAATATTAATATCAGTTAGATATCATCAACCCTAGAGGAATTTTAAATTAAGAGCTAAAGGCACTTACTATGAGTGCGGAGCGATGACCAAAAGGAATTTACGTGAGAAAGTGTTGATGGCCTCATAAAAATCAGGACTGGGATGTGAAAAACAACCCGCTATTGGGCAATATACCTAAAAAAAAAAAGCTTGTGTACAAACCATTATAATAACAGTGAAATGAAAAAGAACAAAAAACATAAAAAATATCAAACAAAAGACAAAAAACAAAAAAAATACACCCACACCACCTGTGTGTTGCACCTTAAAAAACGACAAAAAAAAGGGAGTGAAAAAAATAAATCTAAAAAAAAAATTGTTGCAAAAATTGAGTGAAATATGTGATAGACTACCACGTCTATCTGACGAGGCACGCTTGATGGCTGTGAGCAGAGAAACGAGCTCATAAGCCCGGATTAAATACAGCTAGGGTGGCTTGAAAAAGCTCCAATCAGCTGCAGGCAAAAATGAGTTCAGTCAAAGGGACCAAATGCAAGGTCCGATCGAAATATAAATGGCCCCTCCCCGCGTGGCATGTGCCGTCATCACGTCAATGGCGTAATGACGTCACGTGCCATGCCGCCGCCAAAGAAGGATAAAGAGAATGATAGATACACTACTTTGCCAAAAGTATTGGGATACCTGCCTTTACACGCACATGAACTTCAATGGCCCCCCAGTCTTAGTCCGTAGGGTTCAATATTGAGTTGGCCCCGCCTTTTGCAGCCATAACAGCTTCACCTCTTCTGGGAAGGTCATCCACAAGGTTTAGGAGGGTGTCTATGGGAAGGTTGGACCATTCTTCCAGAAGTGCATCAGGTCAGGCACTGATGTCATACGAGAAGGCCTGGCTCGCAGTCTCCAATCTAATTCCTCCCAAAGCTGTTCTATGGGGTTGAAGTCAGGACTCTGTGCAGGCCAGTCAAGTTCCTCCACCCAAAACTGGCTTCTCCATGTCTTTATGGACCTTGCTTTGTGCACTGGTGCACAGTCATGTTGGAACAGGAAGGGGCCATCCCCAAACTCTTCCCACAAAGTTGGGAGCATGAAGTTGTCCAAAATGTCTTGGTATGCTGACGCCTTAAGAGTTCCCTTCACTGGAACTAGGGGGCCAAGCCCAACCCCTGAAAAAACAACTCCCCACCATAATCCCCCCTCCACCAAACTTTACACTTGGCACAATGCAGTCAGGCAAGTACCATTCTCCTGGCAACCGCCAAACCCAGACATGTCCATTGGATTGCCAGACAGAGAAGCGTGATTCATCACTCCAGAGAACACATCTGCACTGCTCTAGAGTCCAGTGGCGGTGTGCTTTACACCATGGCATCCGACGCTTTGCATTGCACTTGGTGATGGAAGGCTTGGATGCAGCTGCTCGGCCATGGAAACCCATTCCATGAAGCTCTCTACACACTGTTGTTGGGCTCATCTGAAGGCCACACCAAGTTTGGAGATCTTTAGCTATTGACTCTGCAGACAGTTGGCGACTTCTGCGCACTGTGCGCTTCAGCATGCGCTGACCCCGCCCTGTCATGTGACGTGGCCTACCACTTGTGGGTGAGTTGCTGTTCCCAGTTGCTTCCACTTTGTTATACTGTGCCATGTATTGTCCCCCCCTATTGTACAGCGCTGAGCAAACCCTTTGCTATATAAACTCGTAGTAATACTAATAATAATAGTTATAATCCCACTAACGGTTGATTGTGGAATATTTAGTAGCCAGGAAATGTCACGGATGGACTTATTGCCCAGGTGGCCACCTATCACGGGACCACGCTTGGAGTCACTGAGCTCCTGAGAGTGACCCATTCCTTCACAAATGTGTGTAGAAGCAGTCTGCATGTCTAGGGGCTTGATTGTATACACCTGTGTCCATGGAGGTGATTGGAACACCTGAATCACATGATTTTGGAGGGCGGGCACAATACTTTGGCAATATAGTGTATGTCATACAGCATCATCCATGGCAGAGTATAGATGGGTAAGTACTATTAGTAGAATACTAGACAGCACAATATCAGAGTATTAAATGCAAGAGGTACTGTAAATAGGACTTGGATTAGGCCTCTAGTAGACTCTTCAGTTGGGAAATGGAAGCAGTAGGACTTAGAGACATTCCAGATGTGAGGAAAGACGTATATAATGAGTTTTGGTTCTCCTTCACATGTACAGTTTGTAGTTATAAATCTATAATGCTGCCATAACTGGGTGATGACTACATTTTTTTTTCTGAGAAAAACTTGCCATCGCTGACCTCCCTTTGCAAATGCTAGTTACCTGACTTCCATGTTGATCCTCTGGATTCCATAGTTAGAATCACCAACCCAGAGCAAGCATGCAAATACGGACTTCTGACTTTCCTCTGACTTTCCTGATCTGCTTACTTGTTTGGTTTAGGGACTCAAAATAACTGAAACCAGTAGGTCAGAACAAATAACTAGCATTTTCCGCAGTGGTGTCTCCATGCCCCTCTTTGGGAAGACCCACATTAACCCGTGCTTCCTGCCTAGTAGATATGCACAGTGTGCATGACTATTCCTCTTCATCAAAATTACCTCCAAAATTATTGGATATTTTTTTGTGGAATATCTTTGGCGTCTGGATGAAAACCAGAGCATCTAGAGCAGCGGTTCTCAACCTGTGGGTCGCGACCCCTTTGGGGGTCGAATGACCCTTTCACAGGGGTTGCCTAAGACCATCGGAAAACACATATTTTCAATGGTCTTAGGAACCGAGACACCGCTCCTCTATCCATCTCTCCAGCATGCAGATAGACTCTATGAGGTAGTGGTGAGGGTATCCGGAGGGGCTCGGCAGGGTGTCCCGCACTCCCGGCTTGCTGCGAGCCTCTCACGCTGATCTAACACCAGCACACTGACTGGCCTGCTCCCTCTTCCCTGTGCGTTATGAGCATCCGGCCAGGCTGGAGGCTCCTCCCCTGCAAGGGATGGTCGGAGGTGGCCCGCTGCCGCCCATTGGCTGCCCTTGCACCCTTGGGGCGGACTGACCATTTGGAAACTCGGGCACTGCCTGAGGGTCCGGGGTCAGTAGGGGGCCCCATGAGATGCCCCTGGTACCTTTTTCATAGGCTTTCATAGGCTTTTTTGAGCTTAGGCAAGGACACAGGGGCCCCATGATCTCCTATTGCCCGGGGGCCCCATGAGTTGTCAGTCCGCCCCTGCTTGCACCTGCTGCATGTTTCCCCAGGCAGGCAGCTGCTTACAACAGCTGGATAGATGTGAGCCGGGCCCCCCTTTGTCTCCGGGGAGGGGGGATCTGGTTGTGCCCTACAGCCACTCACCTCCCACGGAGGCTTCTCCTCACAGCACTTGTACGAGGGCTGGCACTGGGGTACACGGCCCGCTAGAGGGAAGTACACAGCGACCAGCAATCAGGAGCGGATTGACCAGTTGTCAGTCCACCCCTGCCAGCAATCCCAAACTTTCGGGGGTCATACAAGGAGCCTCAGGACAGACAACTTGGTGTGGGAGATGACTGATATCCCTGGGGGGGTAGGGGGGGAATACTGGCAATACACACTTCAATTTTACTATCAGATCCAATTGGCAATCAGATTAACTTCCGTTCCCATCAAATTCCTTCAGTCAATTGACCAAGGTGCAAAATGTTCGACTGTTTTGCAATAATTTTATGATTGAGAGTCACCACAACATGAGGAACTGTATTAAAGGGTCCCGGCATTAGGAAGGTTGAGAACCACTGATCTAGAGGAAGCCTGCACAAACACAGGGACCCCATGCAGGTCCTTTGTAGGGCAAGGAGCCCAGATGTAATGGTTGGGATGTCGTTCACTAATCTCTTTGCTCCATTGGTCCTACGTTCAGTTCCTACCAGGACTCTGCATGGTGTTCATATGTTCTTCCCATGACTGTATTCATATCTTGTCTATTCTTATCATTGCAGGCCCCCAGCTGTCCTCTAACTATGAACAGCAATGCCTTTGATGACCAGTATGAAGGCTGCGAATGGGAAATGGACAATGCAATCAAATCCTACCTACTTGAGCAAGAAAAAGAAGCTAACCCTGATTTTAGTCTTGCCTGGGATTTCGCAATGGAGGCATGGAACGAAAACAAAGAGTATCTAAGCGAAGAAATCCCTGATGGTTTCCGGGATGAGTATGGAGTTGCCATTATCATTTACTCCAATGACACGGTCTATTCTGATTTTAATGAAGCTGTGAGGAATTACGACCGGGAAGATTTCAACTACCATTCCCTGCATTTCTTTATGACCCGAGCCATGAACCTCCTGAAGGTGGACTGTCCATCGCCTGTGTACAGAGGGATAAACAGGGTACGTCTGTTACCTGAGCATATCGGGGAGACAATCCGATTTGGACAGTTCACCTCTTCCTCCAGGAACCAAACGGTAGCAGAGAACTTTGGGACGGGGACTTTCTTCAACATAAGCACCTGCTTTGGGGCGGACATACACAATTTATCCTCTTATCCAGGGGAAGAGGAGGTTCTTATACCGGTAGATGAGGTCTTTGAAGTGACCCACTTTACCAGGGATTATGGCGAAAGCAGATTTGTCCTTAAAACGACAAAAGCCAGATGTCATTACTACAACTGTGACTTCTTACAAAAAGGTCAGTAAATTTGGGCTTTTGCCAACGTTTTTAGGCTCGGTGTGGGCTCCATCTGCTTCAAGAAGTTCTGTCTCATTAACCACCTCCCGTCCAGCCGTTGTATAAAAACGGCCGGACGGTGGCAGTGCAGGGTCGGGTGGCCGTTTATAAACGGCCTCCCCGCCCCCTGCTTGTGCGCGCTCCCTGGGTGTTCCGGAGCCCGCTGTGTCCTCCAGACACAGTGGAACACCGATCATTGGATGGGACCTCTGTGCGAGGTCCCGATCATGTGATAACTGATTGGCCAATCAGTGATAACATGAGTAGTAAGCAAGATGTCACTTCTAACATCATTGCTTACTACGTGTGAAATCTGTGAATGATCACAGAGATCACATGGTACAGGGCCATCCACAACAGCCTTGTACCATGTAACAAGCTGTGACCAATCACAGCTCACACAATATTTCTCAATGGCTGCAAGAATGCAGCCAGAGAGAAAGAGAAATGATTGCTTTTACAGCCTTTATGGGTGTAAAAGCAATCAGTGTAAAAAAAAAAAATCTTCATCACCCCCCCACAAGTAGTAGAGTGTCACCATGGTGATTCAGTACTGCTAGGGTGACAGTATGTAAAAATAAATAAATATTAATATTAAAAAATAAAACAAAAAAGTAAAAAAGAGTTTAAAAATTATAATTTTTGGTTATAAACTATTTTTTTTTCTTACTAAAAAGATAACAGAATAAATTATGGCCAAGATTTATGATGAAATATTTATTTGCAAAATTTTATAAGAAAAACACTTTTTTCAAAATTTACATAGCAGAAAAAAAAAATCCCGGTGGTGATTAAATACCACCAAAATAAAGCTTTATCTGTCTCAAAAAATGATAAAAAATTCATCTGGGTACAGTGTTGCATGACCGCGCAATTGTCATTCAAATTGTGATAGCACTGAAAGCTGAAAATTGGCATGGACAGGAAGGGGGGAAAGTGTCGGGGCTGGAAGGGGGGGAAAGTGTCCGGATTGAAAGGGGGTGAAAGTGTCCGGACTGGAAGGGGGTGAAAGTGTCCGGACTGGAAGGGGGTGAAAGTGTCCGGACTGGAAGGGGGTGAAAGTGTCCGGACTGGAAAGAGGGAAAGTGTCCGGACTGGAAGGAGGGGAAAGTGTCCGGACTGGAAGGGGGGGAAAGTGTCCGGACTGGAAGGGGGGGAAAGTGTCCGGACTGGAAGGGGGGGAAAGTGTCCGGACTGGAAGGGGGGGAAAGTGTCCGGACTGGAAGGGGGGGAAAGTGTCCGGACTGGAAGTGGTTAATGAAGAGTTATAATGGTTTTGACTTCATTTTATTTTGGTTTTACGCATTTTTTTTTTTTGTTAAAGAGCAGAGCGAAGTTCACGTTAATGCCAGCCTTAGCAAAGTCGAATCAAATTAGACGTGCAGTTCGTTCAGTTCCAAACAGAAATTCAGACAAAATTTACCTTGTTCAGAGATTTGGATGTATCCAAATTTCTGAATTACGACTGTAACAAATTTTACCAAATCTGAAAGCAGGAAATGAAATTCGTCTGAAATTTGAATAGAATTCAAATTGAATTAAAACAAAACAAACTCAAAATATAAATTTATTGCCGGCTATTGCTGACTTGCTTCAAAGACTATGAAGGAAAAAGAACATTGGAGAACTAGAGAAAGTACAGAGAAGGGCAACCAAACTGATAAGAGGCATGGAGGAGATCAGCTATGAGGAAAGATTAGAGCAGTGGTTCTCAACCTTTCTAATGCCGTGACCCCTTAATACAGTTCCTCATGTTGTGGTGACCCCCAACCATAAAATTATTTTCGTTGCTACTTCATAACTGTAATTTTGCAGTGGGAGGACTAGCGCCCCATCACTGATGTCAGTGGGATGAATAGTGTCCCATCGTTGGTATCAGTGGGAGGAATAGCGCCCCATCATTGGTGTCAGTGGGAGGAATAGTGTCCCATCATTGGTGTCAGTGGGAGGAATAGTGCCCCATCATTGGTGTCAGTGGGAGGAATAACGTCCCATCATTGGTGTCAGTGGGAGGAATAGCGTCCCATCATTGGTGTCAGTGGGAGGAATAGTGTCCCATCATTGGTATCAGTGGGGGGAATAGTGCCCCATCATTGGTATCAGTGGGGGGAATAGTACCCCATCATTGGTATCAGTGGGAGGAATAGTGCCCCATCATTGGTGTCAGTGGGAGGAATAGTGCCCCATCATTGGTATCAGTGGGAGGAATAGTGCCCCATCATTGGTATCAGTGGGAGGAATAATGCCCCATCATTGGTATCAGTGGGAGGAATAGTGCCCCATCATTGGTGTCAGTGGGAGGAATAGTGCCCCATCATTGGTGTCAGTGGGAGGAATAGTGCCCCATCATTGGTATCAGTGGGGGGAATAGTGCCCTATCATTGGTATCAATGGGAGGAATAGTGCCCCATCATTGGTATCGGTGGGAGGAATAGTGCCCCATCATTGGTATCGGTGGGAGGAATAGTGCCCCATCATTGGTGTCAGTGGGAGGAATAGTGCCCCATCATTGGTGTCAGTGGGAGGAATAGTGCCCCATCATTGGTGTCAGTGGGAGGAATAGTGCCCCATCATTGGTATCAGTGGGAGGAATAGTGCCCCATCATTGGTATCAGTGGGAGGAATAATGCCCCTTCATTGGTATCAGTGGGAGGAATAATGCCCCATCATCAGTGGGAGGAATTGTGTCCCATCAGTCAGTGGGAGGAATAGTGCCCCATCATTGGTATCAGTGGGAGGAATAGTGCCCCATCATTGGTGTCAGTGGGAGGAATAGTGTACAATCATTGGCGTCAGTGGGAGGAATAGTGCCCCATCATTGGTGTCAGTGGGAGGAATAGTGCCCCATCATTAGTATCAGTGGGGGAATAGTGCCCCATCATTGGCATCAGTGGGAGGAATAGTGTCCCATCATTGGCATCAGTGGGAGGAATAGTGCCCCATCATTGGTGTCAGTGGGAGGAATAGTGCCCCATCATTGGTGTCAGTGGGAGGAATAGTGCCCCATCATTGGTGTCAGTGGGAGGAATAGTGCCCCATCATTGGTATCAGTGGGGGAATAGTGCCCCATCATTGGTATCAATGGGAGGAATAGTGCCCCATCATTGGTGTCAGTGGGAGGAATAGTGCCCCATCATTGGTATCAGTGGGAGGAATAGTGCCCCATCATTGGTATCAGTGGGAGGAATAGTGCCCCATCATTGGTATCAGTGGAAGGAATAGTGCCCCATCATTGGTGTCAGTGGGAGGAATAGTGCTCCATCATTAGCGTCAGTGGGAGGAATAGTGTACAATCATTGGCGTCAGTGGGAGGAATAGTGCCCCATCATTGGTGTCAGTGGGAGGAATAGTGCCCATCATTGGTATCAGTGGGAGGAATAGTGCTCCATCATTGGTGTCAGTGGGAGGAATAGTGCCCCATCATTGGTATCAGTGGGAGGAATAGTGCCCATCATTGGCATCAGTGGGAGGAATAGTGCCCCATTGTGGGTGTCAGTGGGAGGAATAGTGCCCCATTGTGGGTGCCAGGGGGAGGAATAGTGCCCCATTGTGGGTGCCAGGGGAGGAATAGTGCCCCATTGTGGGTGTCATTGGGAGGAATAGTGCCCCATTGTGGGTGTCAGGGGGAGGAATAGTGCCCCATTGTGGGTGTCATGGGGGGAGGAATAGTGCCCCATCGTTGGTGTCAGTGGGGGGAGGAATAGTGCCCCATCGTTGGTGTCAGTGGGGGGAGGAATAGTGCCCCATCGTTGGTGTCAGTGGGGGGAGGAATAGTGCCCCATCGTTGGTGTCAGTGGGGGGAGGAATAGTGCCCCATCGTTGGTGTCAGTGGGGGGAGGAATAGTGCCCCATCGTTGGTGTCAGTGGGGGGAGGAATAGTGCCCCATCGTTGGTGTCAGTGGGGGGAGGAATAGTGCCCCATTCTTGGTGTCAGTGGGGGGAGGAATAGTGCCCCATTCTTGGTGTCAGTGGGGGGAGGAATAGTGCCCCATTCGTTGGTGTCAGTAGGGGGGAGGAATAGTGCCCCATCGTTGGTGTCAGTAGGGGGGAGGAATAGTGCCCCATCGTTGGTGTCAGTAGGGGGGAGGAATAGTGCCCCATCGTTGGTGTCAGTGGGGGGAGGAATAGTGCCCCATCGTTGGTGTCAGTGGGGGGAGGAATAGTGCCCCATCGTTGGTATTAGTGACACAAATGATGGGGCACTATCCCTCCCACTGACACCAATGATACTTACCTTGCTGACTCCTGCTCCAGCCTGGGCTCGCTCTCTCCCTCTCCTCTCCCATCTACAGTCTGCATACCTGGCTACAGCAGCAAAATTTGCACTTACCTGTCAGCTGTCTTCCTTCTCTGGCCTCTCTCTTCACTCACTCCTGCAGCTCCATCGATCTTCTTTCATCTCCGCGCGCTGCCGCTCGGCTCCTCCTCTCCAAGCTCCACCTCCTCGCCGGTGATTGGCCGCCTGTGTGCCTCTCCTGAGCTACAGTTCCGGTGGCCAATCAGCGGCGAGGAGGCGGTGACAGGGGCAGCATATCCCGCCCACACATCGCCGGAGACAGGAGCGGTGTCTCGGTTCCTAAGACCATCGGAAATATGTGTTTTCCGATGGTCTTAGGCGACCCCTGGAAAATGGTCGTTCGACCCCCAAAGGGGTCGCGACCCCCAGGTTGAGAACCGCTGGATTAGAGGAAGGGGCGGACTGACCATTCGAGCACTCGGGCACTGCCCGAGGGCCCGGGGTCAGTGGGGGGCCCCATGAAATGCCCCTGGTACATTTTTATAGGCTTTTTTGGGTGTGCTTTGAGTGTGGGCAAGGACACAGGGGCCCCATGATCCCCTATTACCCGGGGGACCCATGAGTTGTCAGTCCGCCCCTGATTAGAGGCACTGAATTTATTCTCTTCTTGAAAAGAGGAGATTAACCACTTACCCTCCAGAGGATTTACCCCCCCCCCCTTTCAGAGAAAATATTGTTATAAAAACAGACTGAGAGATATAATAATAGTACAAAGGGCAAAAAAATCCTCACATTTCTATGAAGTCTAAGAAAACAGGAAAACTTTATAAAAAAAAAAAAAAAAGGAAATGATTCTGGTTCTGGTTAGTTTAACCCCTCCCCCTCCAGAGGATTTCCCCCCTTCCTGACCAGGCCATTTTTTGGCGCTGCGTTACTTTAACTGACAATTGCGCGGTCATGCAACGCTGCGCTCAAATTAAATTTACATCCTTTATTTCTCACAAATTGAGCTTTCTTTCGGTGGTATTTGACCGCCTCTGTGTTTTTTTTTATTTTAGTGCTATAAGCAAAAAAAAACGAAAATTTTGAAAAAAAAACTATATTTTTGACTTTTTGATACTTAACATGTCCGATAAAAAAATTTAAAAAATCAAATTTCTTCATAATTTTAGGCCAAAATGTATTCTGCTCCGTGTCTTTGCTAAAAAAAAAAATCCAATACGTGTAAATTAATCGGTTTATGTGAAAGTTATAGCGTTTATAAATGGTTGTACAATTTTTATTTTTTTTTACTAGTAATGGCGGTGAGCAGCGACTTATGGCGGGACTGCGGTGGGCATTCTGACACTGGGGGGGAACTGACTTGGTGTCACTGACATGCCCAGTGACACTAATACAGTGATCAGTGCTAATAAAAAGCACTGACACTGTACTAATGGCACTGGGCAGGAAGGGGTTAACATGTGGGGTGATCAAAGGGTTAACTGTGTGCTATTTTATTGTGTGTGTTTCTGATTGTGTGGTCAGAGACATTCACACCAGTGGCCTGCTGGAGGTCATTTTGTAGGGCTCTGGCAGTGCTCATCCTGTTCCTCCTTGCACAAAGGAGCAGATACCGGTCCTGATGATGGGTTTAAGTACAGTTCCACTCACGCTGTCAAAAAATAAAAGTGAGCAGCTACAAAAACTGTAGCTGCTGACTTTTAAAAAAACAGCCACTTACCTGTCCCTCGGTCCTGTGGTGTGTCCCCCGCAGCCCGTTTCACCGGCTGTCCTGTATTCCATCTTCAGTGTGGGCACCCGGCTGTGATAGCTTGCGGCTTCACAGCCGGGTACCCACTGAGCATGTGCATGTGCACCTTGTGAATGGTCCTGTAGTCTTCTGGGACCTGTCACGTGTCCCAAAAGACTACAGGGAGAGAGGACACCTTCTGTTTACGATCGGACCGGAAGTGGGAGCGTGTACCTGTCAAATTCGGATACCTACTCCCCCCCCGCCCCCCACAGGTGCCAATCCTTAATGGGGAGCGGGGGGGGGAGCAGTCCTTAAAGCGGAACTTCCCCTTTTGGGTGGAGCTCCGCATTAAGGACCTTCTACGGCCTTGTCCAGCTCTCCTAGAGGAACTGCCTGTCTCCTGGAATCTCCTCCATGCTCTTGTCTCCTGGAATCTCCTCCATGCTCTTGTCTCCTGGAATCTCCTCCATGCTCTTGTCTCCTGGAATCTCCTCCATGCTCTTGAGACTGTGCTGGGACTGCCTGAGCAACCTCTGTAGGGTCCAGGTATGGCCTCATGCTACCAGTAGTGACACTGACCGTAGCCAAATGCAAAACTAGTGAAAAACAGTCAGAAAAGACGAGTAGGAAAAAAATGTCAGTGGCCTCCACCTGTAAAACCATTCTTGTTTTGGGGGTCATCTCATTGTTGCCCATCGGATGCACCTGTTGCTAATTTCATTACCACCAAAGCAGCTGAAACTGATTAACAACCCCCTCTGCTACTTACCTGACCAGATCAATGTCCCAGGAGTTTAGATGACTTAATGCTGTACTCCTTGTGTGTTCCTTTAATTTTTTTGAGCAGTGTACATGATACCCTTGGCGAGGTCCTTACTCAGGAAGTAATGGAGAAATATACCAGAGTGGTAACCTTACATATACCAACAAGCGCATATAGACCAACTCTTAAGTGAGCAGGTCATGGCTGTCTGGTGAGTGCTGAGCAGTGGTGGTGGTGGTACACGGTGGTGGTGGTAGTGGAGCACAAAGAACTGTGATTGGAAGTGGTGGATTTGCATGAAGCACCTTATTTCCACGGAGGAAAAAGTGAGATGTTTTTGCCCTTTTGCATGAAGGAACTGTTGCCCTTTATGGACAGATGTATTGAGTTGAAGGACATACACATTTAAGCAGTTGTGTGTTTATATATTAGAAATTGCACTTTATGCATAAGGGTTGTTTGCACTTTCTATATGTATGTAAGCGCTGTATATTGTGGGTGATATTTGGTTTAATACATAATTGTGTGTAGTACAGCAGCTATTTTAGCGCAGGTGTTTTTTTTGTTTATGTGCATAATAAATTGTCAAATTTATTTTTGTAACAATATTTCTGGTCATTGTTTTTATAGGTGGGAAATCCAATACATGTGTGTATAGCAGAGGTAAGTACCAACCGTCTTCTCTACTAATTTTTTATTACATAAACCTATTTGTATTGCCAAAAAGCAAACCCAACACACCCTCCAGGGCAGGGTTTCTCAACCAGGGTTCCATGGAGCCCTAGGGTTCCTCCAGAGCTTGCTAGGGGTTCCTTGAGCAATGACCAATTTCTGCCTCTCATACAGTTTCACTGACACCATTGATATTTTTATACATCTGTAAGAGTAATTTTTTCCAGTGACCACAAGTGTAAGGAGCATTCTTCCCACTGACCATCACACTAATATATCATGAGTTGTAGATATAATAATTATTAGCAGAGGTTCCCTGAGACCGGAAATTTATTTCAAGGGTTCCTTCGTGTTGAAAAAGTTGAGAAGGACTGCTCCAGGGCATAACAATCAAGTTTCTGAGTCAGTAGGAAGAGGGCCAATGTTAGTAAGATTTGAGCTACACCCCACACTGGTTTTCACTACACCATACCCTACCATCATCGACATAACCACATCCGGCCAAAGATCGGGCTTTCTGGTTTAGGATAGCCCCATGACAGTCATAGTTTCCAAAGAGTTAATGGAAATTTCTTCAATAAACACATGTGAAGGCCCTCTTGTCAAGGTTCCAGACCACACAGCATGAATCACTCCACAAAGCAGAAAATATCCACAACTCCTGGACATCCTTCTACCGTTGACATTTAAGCAAACTTTCCTAAGAGTTCAGTAACTAAGGCTGACTTATTCAACTCGTAATAGAAGAGAAATATTAAAGTGGGACTTTAGTGAGAAAGTTCTGATAGATGCCTTCAGGCTGGCCCCTTTGGCAGGTTTAGCTATGTAAAACATTACAAATAAGTGTATATACTGTTTAAAATCCAGTGATACACTGTCTCACCCTGCTCTGCACAGGTTTAGTTGCTCTGTATTTTTAGGCACGGTGCTGAATTTATAGAGTCCAATCTGTTGATAGCCTTAATATTTACTGCTGCTCAGGATTCAACAAAATGGCAGCTTCCAGCAAGGAGAAACAGGAGCAATGCTGGAGGCAATTTATAGCGCACACTGATTTTGGTAGCATAATTATTATTAAGGAATGTATGTTCCTTGCTAAAGAACATTATTTTTTATCAAGTTGTTATGGGTGAAGTTCCACTTTAAGAAGAAGAGTAAATCTATCTTACAGAGGGTCATGTTGGAGGTGTGATATCCCAGTGGTGGATGTTAGAAAAGTAGAGAGAAGGTCAGGAGAAGAGTATTTCCTGCCATTTGGAGGGTCATGTTGGAGGTGTGATATCTTGGGGTGGGTTTAACAAGAAAAGTAGATAGAAGGTCAGGAGAAGAGTATTTCCTGCCGTTTGGAGGGTCATGTTGGAGGTGTGATATCTTGGGTGGGTGTAACAAGAAAAGTAGATAGAAGGTCAGGAGAAGAGTATTTTCAACTTTATGGAGGGTTATGTTGGAGGGTGGGATATTCCAGAAAGTTATACTGGAGATCAGGATCAGAGTATGTTCTACCTTATGGTGGGTTAAGTCGGAGAATTTGTTATCCTGGTGATGGGGGAAACAGAAAAGTGAAGAGAAGATCAGGAAAAAAGTATTTTCTATTATATGGAGGGCCACGTTGAAGGGTGTGATATTCCGATGTTGGGTATAATCTAAAGACTATTGATGGGTTCACAGTATTTTCTGCCTTATGAGGGACATGTAGGAGGCCAAGGTTCTTTATATTATTTAATGAAAATTCATTTCTCAAAAATAATTTTCAATGGTGTGATCAGGAGAGTAAAGAAAAGGTCAGAAGTATCTTCTACATTATGGAGGGTCATGTTAGAAGATATGGTATCCTGGTTGTAGAAGTAATCAAAAAGGCAGAGGGAATGTCAGGAGTAGAGAATTGGAGATCATGTTGGAGGGTGAGATATCCCAGTGGTGAGTATAATCAGAAAGGTAGAGAGAAGATCAGGAGTAGAGTTTTTTTTTTCTACTTCTTGGAGGGTCATGTTGGAGATGTGATATCCTGGTGCTTAGTGTTATCAGCAAGGTGGAGAGAAGCTCAGGAGCAGAGTACTTTCTACCTTACAGAGGATCATGTTGGTGGATGTGATTAGAAAGGTAGAAAGACTTAACATTTCCGATTTCATGAAGGTCATATTGGAAGATCTGATATCCCAATGTTGAGTATAATCTGAGGAGTAGAGAGATGGGCATGCAGATTTAGTGTGTTTTCTGCATTAGAGGGTCAGGTGAAAGGCCAATATTCTTTTTAAATTTTTAATGAAAAATAATTTCTCAAAAATAATTTTCTCGTGTGGTCAGGAGGGTAAAAAAAGGATCAGAAACACAGTATCTCTTACGTTATGGAGGGTCATCTAAGAGGGTGTGATATCCCAATGTTGTGTATAATCTGAGGAGTAGAGAGATGGGATGCAGATTTAGTGTGTTTTCTGCCTTATGGGGGTCAGGTGGAAGGCCAATATCCTTTTAATGAAAAATAATTTCTCAAAAATAATTTTCTCTTGTGTGGTCTTGAAGGAAAAAAAAAAAGATCTGAAACATAGTATATCCTACGTTATGGACAGGGGTGTATTTACCACAAGACAAACAAGGCATTTGCCTAGGGCGGTATTTTTCAGGGGGCAGCACCGCGCCCTAGAAGAAGGGATGGAAGAAGGGGCACACGCAGCATGGGGACCAGGTGGGATCTAAGAGAGGCTATGGCTGCTTGATGGTGTATGCAGAGCCAGACTCTCGTTCCCGGGGATGTCTGGAGCTGTGAAGGCAAGTGTCTTCTCTTTCTCGCTGGGGCGACGGGGGTGGAAAGTGTATGGGGGGGGGGGTATTGGAAGGCTCTTTGGGTGGGGATGGGTCTGGGGTGTTGTTGGTCAATGTCAGGCTCTCTTCATGGGGGGGGGTGTTGGTCAGTGTTAGGGTCTCTCCATGGGGGGGGCGGGGCTGATTTTTGTGTTACCTAGGGCAGCACGAAACCTAAATACACCACTGGTTATGGAGTGTCATGTTGGAGGGTGTGATATCCTGGTGCTAGCATCAACAGAAAGGTAGAGATAAGGTCAGGAGAAGAGTATTTTTATCTTATGGAGGGTCACGTTAGAGGCGTGGTATCTTGATGGTGGGTGTAGCTTGCAAGGTAGAAAATATTCTGCTCCTGACCTTCTTTCTATTTTATAGAGGGTTACAGTATATTGGAGGGTGTGATATCCCAATGTTGGATATAATCTGAACAGTAGAGAGATGGGCAGGCAGGCTCAGAGTGTTTTCAAGTATCTGCTAACTTTTGGAGAGTCATGTTTGAGGATGTGATGTGATGTCCCGGTGGTAGAAGTAATCAGAAAGGCAGAGAGAGGGTCAGGAGTACTTTTTTTTTTCTACTTCTTGGAGAGTCATGTTGGAGATGTAATATCCCGATAGTGGGTGTATTTAGAAAGGTAGAAAGAAAGTCAAGAGCAGAATATTTTCTATTTTATGGAGAGTCATGTTGGATGGTGTTATATGCCAATATTGGGTATAATCCGAAGAATAGAGACATGGACAGGGTCAGAGTATTTTCTGCCTTATAAAGGGTCATGTGGGAAGTCAAGATCCTTTTATTCTTTAATGAACAATCATTTCTCAAAAACAATTTGCAATTGTGTGATCAAGAGGGTAAAGAAAAGGTCAGAAGCAGAGTATCTTCTACCTTATGGAGGGTCATGTTGGAGGATGTGATATCCTGGTGCTAGAAATAATCAAAAAGGCAGAGAGAAGGTCAGAAGAGTATTGGAGATCATGTTGGAGGTTGAGATATCCCAGTGGTGGGTGTAATCAGAAAGGCAGAGAGAAGGTCAGGAGAAGAGTATTTTCTCCTTCTTGGAGGGTCATGTTGGAGATGTTATATCCTGGTGTAATAATCAGAAAGGTGGAGAGAAGGTCAGGAGCAGAATACTTTCTACCTTACAGAGGGTCATGTCCCAATGTTGGGTATAATCCAAAGAGTAGTGAGATGGACAGGGTCAGAGCATTTTCTGCCTTATGAGGGTCATGTGGGAGGTCAAGATCCTTTTATTCTTTAAAGAACAATCATTTCTCAAAAAAAATTAGCAATTGTGTAATCGAGAGGCTAAAAAATTGTCAGAAATGGAGTATCTTCTACCTTATAGAGAGTCATGTTTTATATTGGAGGACATAATATCTGGATGGTGGAAATAATCAGAAAGACAGAGAAATTGTCAGGAGCAGACTACATCATTAGTAATACCTCATCTGGAAAATGCAGCTCAGTTTTGGGCTCCAATTCACAAAAAGAACATTGGGGAACTGGAGAAAGTACAGAGAAGGGCAACTAAACTGATAAGAGGCATGGAGGAGCTCAGCTATGAGGAAAGATTAGAGGAACTGAATTTATTCTCTACAGAGAAGAGGAGATTAAGGGGGGTATGATCACCATGTATAATACATAAGGGGGATATGATCTCCATGTATAATACATAAGAGGGGATATGATCTCCATGTATAATACATAAGGGGGGATATGACCTCCATGTATAATACATAAGAGGGGATATGATCTCCATGTATAATACATAAGGGGGGATATGATCTCCATGTATAATACATAAGGGGGGATATGATAAACATGTATAACACATAAGGGGGATATGACCACCATGTATAATACATAAGGGGGGATGTGATCTCCATGTATAATACATAAGGGGGGATATGATCTCCATGTATAATACATAGGGGGGATATGATCTACATGTATAATACATAAGGGGGGATATGATCTCCATGTATAATACATAAGGGGGATATGATCTCCATGTATAATACATAAGGGGGGATATGATCTCCATGTATAATACATAAGGGGGGATATGATCTCCATGTATAATACATAAGGGGGGATATGATCTCCATGTATAATACATAAGGGGGGATATGATCACCATGTATAATACATAAGGGGGATATGATCACCATGTATAATACATAAGGGGGATATGATCACCATGTATAATACATAAGGGGGGATATGATCTCCATGTATAATACATAAGGGGGGATATGATCTCCATGTATAATACATAAGGGGGGATATGATCACCATGTATAATACATAAGGGGGATATGATCTCCATGTATAATACATAAGGGGGGATATGATCTCCATGTATAATACATAAGGGGGTATGATCTCCATGTATAATACATAAGGAGGGATATGATCATCATGTATAATACATAAGGGGGGATATGATCTCCATGTATAATACATAAGGGGGATATGGGGGGGGGATATGATCTCCATGTATAATGCATAAGGGGGATATGATCTCCATGTATAATACATAAGGGGGTATGATCTCCATGTATAATACATAAGGGGGGATATGATCACCATGTATAATACATAGGGGGGATATGATCTACATGTATAATACATAAGGGGGATATGATCACCATGTATAATACATAAGGGGGATATGATCACCATGTATAATACATAAGGGGGGATATGATCTCCATGTATAATACATAAGGGGGATATGATCTCCATGTATAATACATAAGGGGGGATATGATCGCCATGTATAATACATAAGGGGGGATATGATCGCCATGTATAATACATAAGGGGGATATGATCTCCATGTATAATACATAAGGGGGATATGATCTCCATGTATAATACATAAGGGGGGATATGATCGCCATGTATAATACATAAGGGGGGATATGATCGCCATGTATAATACATAAGGGGGAGGGATATGATCGCCATGTATAATACATAGGGGGGGGATATGATCACCATGTATAATACATAAGGGGGGATATGATCTCCATGTATAATACATAAGGGGGATATGATCTCCATGTATAATACATAAGGGGGGATATGATCTCCATGTATAATACATAAGGGGGGATATGATCACCATATATAAACACATAAGGGGGGATATGATCTCCATGTATAATACATAAGGGGGATATGATCTCCATGTATAATACATAAGGGGGGATATGATCTCCATGTATAATACATAAGGGGGATATGATCTCCATGTATAATACATAAGGGGGGATATGATCTCCATGTATAATACATAAGGGGGGATATGATCACCATGTATAATACATAAGGGGGGATATGATCTCCATGTATAATACATAAGGGGGATATGATCTCCATATATAATACATAAGGGGGATATGATCTCCATGTATAATACATAAGGGGGATATGATCACCATGTATAATACATAGGGGGGGGGGGATATGATCACCATGTATAATACATAAGGGGGGATATGATCTCCATGTATAATGCATAAGGGGGGATATGATCTCCATGTATAATACATAAGGGGGATATGATCTCCATGTATAATACATAAGGGGGGGTATAATACATAGGGGGGGGATATGATCTCCATGTATAATGCATAAGGGGGGATATGACCTCCATGTATAATACATAAGGGGGGATATGATCTCCATGTATAAATACATCAGTGGTTCATATAGTGAACTCGGTGTAGTTATTCCCCCTGAGGTCATCACAGAGGACAAGGGGGCGCTCTTTACGTCTGGAGGAAAATAAATTTAATCTCCAAACACGGAAAAGTTTCTTCACAGTAAGAGCTGTGAAAATGTGGAATAGACTTCCTCAAGAGTTGGTTGTGGCCAGCTCAGTGGATTGCTGTAGGAAAGTCCTGGATTCTTTCTTGGATACACAGAATATAACTGGATATAACATTTATAGGGAAAGTTGATCCAGGGAATATGCGATTGCCTCTCGGGGGATCAGGAAGGAAATGTTTTCCCTGCAGGAGCAAATTGGATCATGCTTTGCTGGGTTATTTGTTGCCTTCCTCTGGATCAACTGTGGGTATAGGATTATAACTTTTCTTTTTTTTGGATTTTGTCTTTTTTTCAGCCAGACCAACTTTGTAACTATTTTCAGCTTTATGGAGGGTCATATTGGAGGGTTATATATCCTGGTGGTGAATGTATTCAGAAGGATAGAGAAAAGGTCAGGAATAAAGTTTGTTATACCTTAAGGAGGGTCATGCTGGAGGTGTGATTTCCCAGTGGTGGGTGTAATCAGAATGCAGAGAGAAGGTCAGAAGCAGAGAGTTTTCTATCTTGTGGAGGGTCATGTTGGAGGATGTGATCAGAACGTAGAGAGAAGGTCAGAAGCAGAGGGTTTTCTATATTATGGAGGGTTATATTGGAGGTGTGATCAGAAGGCAGAGAGAAGGTCAGAAGCAGAATGTTTTTTTCTATCGTATGGAGGGTCATGTTGGAGGATGTGATCAGAAGGCAGAGAGAAGGTCAGAAGCAGAGGGTTTTCTATCTTATGGAGGGTCATGTTGGAAGGTGTGATCAGAAGGCAGAGAGAAGGTCAAAGCAGAGGATTTTCTATCTCATGGAGGGTCATGTTGGAGGATGTGATCAGAAGGTAGAGAGAAGGTCAGAAGCAGAGGATTTTCTATCTCATGGAGGGTCATGTTGTTGGAAGTGTGATGGAGGGTCAGAAGGCATCAGAAAAGGTCAGAAGCAGAGGGTTTTCTATCTTGTGGAGGGTCATGTTGGAGGTGTGATCAGAAGGCAGAGAGAAGGTCAGAAGCAGAGGATTTTCTATCTCGTGGAGGGTCACGTTTGAAGGTGTGATCAGAAGGCAGAGAGAAGGTCAGAAGCAGAGAGTTTTCTATCTCGTGGAGGGTCATGTTGGAGGTGTGATCAGAAGGCAGAGAGAAGGTCAGAAGCAGAGGGTTTTCTATCTTCTGGAGGGTCACGTTGGAGGTGTGATCAGAAGGCAGGGGGAAGGTCAGAAGCAGAGGATTTTCTATCTTGTGGAGGTCATGTTGGAGGTGTGTGATCAGAAGGCAGAGAGAAGGTCAGAAGCAGAGGATTTTTCTATCTCATGGAGGTCACTTTGAAGGTCACTTTGAAGGTGTAATCAGAAGGCAGAGAGAAGGTCAGAAGCAGAGGGTTTTCTATCTTATGGAGGGTCACGTTGGAAGTGTGATCAAAAGGCAGAGAGAAGGTCAGAAGCAGAGGATTTTCTATCTCATGGAGGGTCACGTTGGTGGTGTGATCAGAAGGCAGAGAGAAGGTCAGAAGCAGAGGGATTTTCTATCTCGTGGAGGGTCACGTTGGAGGTGTGATCAGAAGGCCGAGGGAAGGTCAGAAGCAGAGGATTTTCTATCTCATGGAGGGTCATGTTGGAGGTGTGATCAGAAGGCAGAGGGAAGGTCAGAAGCAGAGGATTTTCTATCTCATGGAGGGTTATATTGGAGGTGTGATCAGAAGGTACAGAGAAGGTCAGAAGCAGAGAGTTTTCTATCTCGTGGAGGGTCATGTTGGAGGTGTGATCAGAAGGTACAGAGAAGGTCAGAAGCAGAGGGTTTTCTATCGTGGAGGGTTGTGGGAGCGTCATGTTGGAAGTCACGTTGGAAGTGTAATCAGAAGGCAGAGAGAAGGTCAGAAGCAGGGGCGGACTGACCATTTGGAAACTGCCCGAGGGACGGGGTCAGTGGGGGGCCCCATGAGATGCCCTGATACCTTTTTCATAGGCTTTTTTGAGTTTGGGCAAGGACACAGGGGCCCTATGATCCCCTATTGCCCGGGGGCCCCATGAGTTTTCAGTCTGCCCCTAGTCAGAAGTAGAGTGTTTTCTATCTTATGGAGGGTCATGTTGGAAGTGTGATCAGAAGGCAGAGAGAAGGTCAGAAGCAGATGATTTTCTATCTTATGGAGGGTCATGTTGGAGGATGTGGTATGGAAGTGTCATGTGGAAGGTCAAGACTCTTCTACTCTTCAATGAACAGTGATTTTTCAATTGCTTTTATCTCTCAAAAATTATGAAGATTATAAACTAGTTTCTTCTCATTTTAGGTGTGAAGGAGCTGTTTCCACCAGCGGTGATTTCACTCTCGTTTTCTTTACTGATATTCATCTTGAAGGACATAACTGAGTGTTGAGAGATAAGGAACGCAATGACCTCCCTACTGTCATACACTGTGAAGCAATATGGACAGGCGTTTCCTCCAGGAAATAATAACATGCTTTTGTTGACTTTATCTTCAGCGAACACCCAGAATTTTAGCACCTGTGGGTGTCATTATCTCAGTGCTTTAGTTGTAATAACGTGTTCCTGCTGCTTCCAATCCTGGTGCTATGCGATGTCACGAGGTGAATATGGCATGGTCTAGACCAGTGTTTCTCAACCTTTTTTCAATCAAGGCACCCTTTAAAATTATGGACAGTCCCAAGGCACCCTTTATCCGCCTCCTGCCCATCATTTCCTTATATGGCAAGGCGGTTCTCTCATTCTGGGAGGACGTCATATGATGTCCTCTCACTCTAACCGTGTGCGTGGCTCCAGGGGCACGCAGCGCGGCGATCGGTGGTGCTCTGTGTCCCTGGGACACAGCAGATCACCGATCAATGGAAAGAGCTGAAAAACGTTTGTTTCGGTCATGTGATCAGCTGTGTCCAATCATAGCTGATTGCATGTAAATAAGGAAAGACCAGTTATCTGCATTTCGCTCCTCACAAGCTGTCACACTGACAGAGGAGAAGAGAGCCGGTAATTGGCATTCCTCAGAGGGGACATGTACACTGATCATCAGGGCACTGATAATCAGTGTGCCCTGATGATCAGTGTAGCCACAGCAGTGCCACCTGTCAGTGTCCATCAGTGCCAGCTGTCAGTGCTCATCAGTGCCACGTGCCAGTGTCCATTAGTGCCACATCAATGCTACATATCAGAGCCTAACAGTGCACACCAATGCCACATATCAGTGCCCATCTGAGCTTCCTTTCAGTGCCACCTCTCAGTTTTGCCAGTCAGTACCACCTCTCAGTGCCAGTCAGTGCCGCCTATCACTGCGCGTCAGTGCTGCCTATCAGTGCTGCCAGTGCAGTCAGTGCCACCTAACAGTGCCAGCCAGTGCTGCCTATCAGTGCCAGTCAGTGCCGCCTATCAGTGCTACCTAACAATGCCACCTATCAGTGACATATATGAGTCTGCCTTTCAGTGCCCATCAGTGATACTTGTCAATGCCCATCAGTGCCACCTACCAGTGCCTGCTCATCAGTTCCACCTATCAGTGTCCATCAGTGCCACCTATCAGTGCCCATCACTGCAGCCTCATTAGCGCACATCAGTGAAGGAGAAAAATCACTTATTTACAAAATTTTATAACAAAAACTAATAAAAAACTTTTTTTTCACAATTTTCAGTTGTTTTTGGTTTGTTTAGCAAAAAATAAAACCCCCCGAGGTGATTAAATACCAACAAAATAAAGCTTTATCTGTCTCAAAAAAATGATAAAAAATTCATATGGGTACAGTGTTGCATGACCGCACAATTGTCATTCAAACTGCATGGGCAGGAGGGGGGTATATGTGGCCGGTAGGCAAGGGGTAAAATGACGGACAGTCTTGCGGCACCCCATTTTAGAATGGGGTGCTCCAAGACTGTCCATAATTTTAAAGGGTTCCTTGGGACTGTCCATAATTTTAAAAGGGCACTCCATTCTAAAATGTGCAAAACGATTCAATCACAGCAACACCCACACATGTAGGACACCCAACATTATAGGGATTGATTCTTCCAAAGCAAGTACACTTTTGCACACTGGTACTGACTAGTTAACCCATGTTTCTCCTCTCCCTCAGTTTTTCACCATAACTGAGCTAATGTGACCCCAGCACTGAAGGAGAGGGGCGGGGGAGGGTACTGGGGATGCAGGCAGCTGTGATGTCAGGTTGTCAGCAGCTAGAAGGTAGTAAATGGTGCACAATGAAAACTTGAGACTTTGAGGAGAGAGAGAAGTGGAGAGCGATTAGAACCTCTGTCAGGTTTTTATTGCTGTCTGCTGTCACCATCTGGTGACTATTATCAGTGAATGTGAAAGTGAAAAAAAAATCCCAAATTATGGGTTCCCATATGGAAGAGAAATATATTTTCAATATATTTAGAAAAAAAAAAAATTATACATGCAACATATATTTACAATACATTGGCCTACGCAAATTTTAACCATATTCAATATATTTAAAAAATATATTTCAATATATCTGTGAATATATTATTAAAAAATATATTCAGAACAACGCTGCAATATATATCAAAGTGTCATTTGGAATGCATTTACAAGTATATTTAAAAATCTACGTTTAAATGCATTTTTATTAGATGTTCAAAAATATCTGGAAAATATATTTTTAAATATAGGCCTTTGGAAAATATATTTTAATTTAAATTTTTTTGGAATACCTATTTGTGTAGGCCAATATATTGTAAATATAGGTCGCATGTATCATTTTTTTTTTTTTTCTAAATATATTGAAAAATATTTCTCTTCCATATGGGCTGCACTGAGATCATTACAAGAAAGTTGTTCTCTGCATCGTGAAGGACCGCCCAGCCCTGGAGAAGAGGCAGAGAGAAAAAAAGTACCCCTCATATCACATGACCGACCTAATTATTTTTTTTTCATGTTTGCTGTACCATATTTTTCATTCTTTCTTTTTGAAAATATATTTCTCTTCCATATGGGCATCTTCAGTTGGGACACAGATGGTTATATGAACCTGGCAGAGGTTCTAACCCAACCCCTTCACATTAAAATTGTTGCTGCAAGGACACAAATGCTTGACCACCAGCCAGTCTTTAGGATCATTGGTGCTCCTCATCCATTTTTAATAATTCAGCTCTGTGCTGTACCCTATGTATGGCCTGTTTCTGCATGCCAGGGTTTTGGATCTGCTGCCCGGCCTCCAACAAAAAAGATGAAGGCGATAGAGGGAGAAAACCATTGCCTTGTTCAACCATGAGGTCGGGTCTCTTATATACAGCAAGGCCACAATGGCACCAGTTGGACTGAGAGGACCTGTTTGTCCGAGCCTTCAATGGGTTTTCTGTCCAAACTGCCTACAACTGCAATCAGGAAAATTAAAACGTTCACAAAGTCCCATTGTCCTGCGTTCCTATGGGAAGGAGGAGACGTAAGCTCAGTCAATGGGGTTTTCAAGGCAGGATTGATGGGTGAGGGAACCAGCCTCGGTCACAATGTCTCTTTATATCGAGTGTTTAGAACATTGTGCTACCTTGTAAATTTCACCAACGAATGACGACATTTCTAAAGCAGAAGCAAGTCACAGCTATATTCTTCTCCTTGCTCCAGCATCGGAAAGGCAGAACCCATTAGAGATCAAACTCCATGCTGTGCACACACACCGATCCAAATATAGTTTTCCAGCCTGCTGCTGATCGGTGACTGTGACACACCAGCTACAGCAGGAAAACATTTTGGTGGGATCTTTCTAGAACTGTGGTTCTCAACCAAATTGAGACCAGGGCCCCGTAAATTCTTTCAAAACCTTCCAGGACCCAACAGTAAACAAAAAAAAACAAAGTTTATACTCACAAAATAAAGGTGTGGGAGTGCTGGAAGGCTCTTGATGGGGCTCGGTGTCACTGTGGGATTGGAGGGAAGGTTGAGGTTTCTGGAGGGGCCTGGATCTGGGGAAGCTGGAGAAGGCTTCAGGGGGGACACTGTTGGAGGTTGTTACACCGTGGGGGGTTGGAGGCTCTGGTACAGTGGGAGACTGGGTGGCTGTGTGGGAGTTTGGAGAGGCACTGTGGGGATTGAAGGCCCTCAGGGAACCTAAAGACACTGTGGGCAGTAGGGGGGGAGTACTATGACAGCTGAGGGCTCTTAAGGGGCCTAAGGGCACTGTGGAGGGGATGTTGAGGGGCACTGCAGGCAGTTATGGGGGGCTGGAGGCACTATGTAACCTGGGAGACACTGTGGTAGCGCATTTGTGAGGCCAGGTGCTAGTGTCGGACGAAAAGCCTTGCTCTGTATGGTTCAATATTGAGTTGTCCCGCCCTTTGAATCCATAACAGCTTCAACTCTTCTGGGAAGGCCGTCCATAAGGTTTAGGAGGGTGTCTTATGGGAAGGTTGGACCATTCTTCCAGAAGCACATTTGTCAGGTCAGGCACTGATGTCGGGGGGAGGAGGCCTGGCTCACAGTCTCCGCTCTAATTCATCCCAAAGGTGTTCTATGGGCTTGAGGTCAGGACTCTGTGCAGGCCAGTCAAGTTCCTCCACCCATATATACAGAAGCAAGTATCATTTTTTGTGGTGGAATTAATTTGTGTGGAAATTGTTAATGATAGCAAGAAAAGCAGTACAATAGATCTCCTGCTGCCAGCAACAGCCCCAGTGGCAACAGATCCCCCAACCACAATGGATCACCTGCAATTAAAAATACCCCCACCAGAAACAATAGAACCCCAGCAGCAACAACAGATCTCCCTGCAACATGTGTCAATAGACCCTCCGGCAGCCAGAAACAATAGCCCCCCCCCTCAACAGTAGATCTCGACCAGTAACAATGGACCCCCAGCAACATAAGACCCATCCCCAGAAACAATAGAAAATAGAACCCGCCCCGCTTGCAAAAATGTATCCCCCAGCAGCAACAATAGACCTTCCTGCAAAAGTAGATCCCTTCCATCAAAAATAGATCCCCCAGCAGCGAGCATCAATAGATCCTCCAACACACCCCTAACCCCTTGCCATTTCCTACATTCAGTGCAGGAGGTGGGAGGTGCCGGAACAGTGTTCCTCTGTGTTCCTGCAGAATTAAAGCCATATATATATATATATATATATATATATATATATATATATATATATATATATACAGTGAGGAACAGAGGTATTTGAACACCCTGCGATTTTGCAAGTTCTCCCACTTCTCCATCATGGAGGGATCTGACATTCACATTGTAGGTGCATTCCCTTTCTGAGAGACAGGATTTTAAAATAAATTCAGGAAATCACATTGTATGATTTGTAAAGAATGTATTTGTCTTGCACTGCTGAACAGAAGTATTTGAACAACTAAGAAACAGCAAGAATTCTGGCTCTCAAAGATCTGTTACTGTGCCTTTAAAAAGT